ATGTAGGTGACTGCCAGGTGAAATTTTCAGCTATGACAATGGCCCATTCAGGAGGATGTGGGAAATAAAATCTCATTCCTGGCAGACTAGAGAGGTCATATTGCATGTAAGAACCCAGAACTCACTATAATCACAGTCAGAAACCATAGGAAGCAAAATCTACGCAGCTGGAACTATAGAAGAAGACAAAAATGGCTCCAAAAACTAACAGAGAAAGGAAGGAAAACAATGCAATCCAAAGGAGTAGTAAAGAAAAGGAAAAACAAGTGAGTGTGACATAACAGACTGGCGAAGAGTATTGGTTGATCTAGAAAGTCCTAACCAAGCATGAACTTGAGTGCTCATTGTATTTGGTAATGAGTGGACTGGTGAATTTAAGACACAATAGGAGTTTTGGGTGAAGATATGCAGGTTGAATAATCAGATTGGAGCAAATTGAACCATATAAATGAGATAAGAGACAACAAAATATAGTATTGCAAAGACTACTTTCTGAATGTTTTGCTGAGAAAGAAGGGAGAGAAACATGACTGGACTACAACTGAAGGTGTACATAAAGTCAGCTGAGAGAGTTGTGAATCTATGCAGAATGTGAAATTCATTGCAAGTTGGTGATGGGGTGTCTTCTGTAAATGTGTTTCTCTTATTGGTTGATGAATAAAACACTGTTTGGCCAATGAGGCAGGAAGATAGGCAGGACTAGAAGACGAGGAGAATTCTGGGAAACATAGGCAGATGGGGTTGTCATGTAGCCTACCAAAGGAGTGCCAGTTCTGGACCCTTCCCATAAGCCAAGACAATGTAGAAATACATAGATTAATATAAATTGGTTAATAATTAGGACAGAGGTAGCCAATAAGAAGCCCAAGCAACCAGCCAACCATTTTATAATTAATACAAGTCTTGTGTGTTTATTTGGTGCTTAAATGTGGTGGGACCCAGCTGAGCCAGAAAATCTCCATCAACAAAGTTGATGTCTGTCTTAACCTGGGGTCTCCATAAATGCCTGTGCGAGGGCTGACATGTGAGCAGTTTATGTATGTATATAAACTCAGAGAAAGGATATGGATGACTAAAAAGAAATAAATGGGAAAAGGAGAAACATTAAATCAAGAATACACGCACGCACGCACGCGCACACACACACACACACACACACACACACACACATATATATATGTATGTATGTATGTCATGGTCAAGCTTGGTGGTGTAGGTGTGTGATCCCAGGTGCTAAGAGGGTTAAGACAGGAGGACTACCGTTTCTAGGCCTTTTCTGTACTATAGCATGGGAAACTATAGAGACATTGCCTCAAAATAGAAAGTGAAAAACTGTTCAGTGGTATAACTATGTGGTAGGACAGCTGTGTAGTAAACATGAGACCCTATGTTCAATGCCAAGTACTATAAAAGAGGTGTGTGGAGAGAATGCATTCTCAACCCACTATGTTCCAAATCTACTGTAGTATACGACCAGACAATTGGGGTTCAGTCATGCTCCAGTCCTCTAAGACACAATGTAAAAATGTATTTAGAATTGTCTGCACATGAAACAAAAGAGGAGAATTCCACACCGACCAGGAATTGTCCACTCCAGTGTTAACTCCTGAGATTTCTGGACTTGTCAGGGCCTCAGAATGGCTTATCAGGATTCTATAAATGCCAACCTTAAAAGTCGCATAGAAATCCAGGACAGAAAATGAAAGTCTCTCAGTACAGCTGAGGCAAGCATCTGCCACATTAAATCTAACAGCAGCCTATTGCCATGGCAACAGCTAGAGTAAAAGTTGAGCCAAGAGGAGGTGAAATGGCAAAGAAGTATTTGATAGAATGTCTGCCTTGTGGATCGCACTCCACAACACTTTCCAGCCTCGCTAGAAAAACTGGCTTGTGTCTAGTCCATGCCAGAGTTGACATACAGGTTCTCATGACTGCTGCCCTCCAGGCCTCCCTGCCTCTGCTTAAGACTAATTACCACAAATGGCAGGGCTACCTGACAAGCAAATTAAGCAAATTAAAGTTTTGATATAGTCTTGGTGACAGAAACAAGAAATATTTTAGAAACATCAAGCAATTAACCTGGTATTTCAGGAGAACATACTGCACTCCAGACCTGCACACAAGAGAGAAGATTATCAGACAATGCTAAATATGGTGGTTACTCTGATGTCTCATTAGGAAAATACTGGAAGAACATTGTGGGACGAGATCTGAAAATAGAGAAGGCTAGATCTGATGAGATAAGACTGTATCAAGCAAAGTTACTCCAGTGCTCCCAGCAGCACTGCATAGAATCTCAGGGGTTACTAGAGAGCAATCATGCAAACTACTTTGGTAGACACTTTCAGTTTCAACACTGGGCCATGAGGTGACTTTTATTTTCTTCTGTAAAGGTATCTGTGTATTTTTCATGAGCCTCATAACAAATACTTATATTGCTTTGGTGATGAAAAGAATATGTATAGTTTTTGAATAACTGAAGTAGGCAGAACAACTGGCACTGTCACACATTGCTGGTTGAATGCAAAATGGTACACTAGGGTTTTGTTGTTGTTGTTTTGGTTTTTTTTTTTTTTAATGCTAAACTGCTTTCTGTTTAAATGTATACTTGCCTTCTGCCCCAGAAATCACATTCCAAGGCATTTACCCAAGAAAACGAAACTCCTATGCTCTCTCTCTCTATCTCCCTCTGTGTGTGTGTGTCTGTCTGTCTGTCTGTCTCTATTGTCTGTCTCTGTTGTCTCTCTCCTTCCTCTCCCTTACCCAATAGACATCAGGCATGTACTAGCATTTAAAGTACCTTTTATAGGTATGATACACTATTATAAACATGTGAACATTAATGCATGTAACCACATATTTTTCCACAAAAGAAACTGAAACTGAAACTGGAAAATAGATAAGCAAATTGTGAAGCATGCATATGAAGAAATCCTATTTAGCACCAAAAAGCAGCAAACTACTAAAATACACAACATGGGATGGTTTCAACTACATCATGCTGAGTGAAAAGCCAGCCAGACTCAAAAGTTATCCACTCTCTGGTTCTATTTTAGAACACGTGATCTTTTAGAAAATGCAAAATCATAGCTACAGAAAACTGATGACTGGCTATTGCGATCCAGAGGTTAGGAAGAGATTAAATGCAAAGTGAAAATACAGAGAAACCACGGCAATGGCATTGCACTGTATCTGGGATGTGGTGTGGCCATATACCTCTATTAATTTAGGTTCACTCACTGACCTCAATGACAACATGTTTATTTCTCTGTATGGAAAATTAATTTTGAGACAGGGTCTCACCTATGTTACCTTGGCTGACCACAAACTGCCATTTTCCTGCAACAGCTTCCTAAGTACTGGGATTCTAGGCCTGTGCCATCACACCCAGCTTTTGATTTTTAAAGGGAAATTCATGTCCTAAAAATCCTCCAAAAAATATATGAACAACCCCTTTGGCCTGGGAATAAGCAGGAGGTCATCATTATTTGATGGAAATATTCAGAAGAAAAGCTTATCAAAATCTACACACAGTAGGAGTCAAGTGAGAGCGCAGTCTCTGAGAACCGTCGCAAAGATTCACAGACAAGATTTACAGACTCTCCAAATATAGATGCAGGGAACAAAACATCAAAATCTAATCCAGAGCTTTGGTCCTTCACAGTGATGTATATTGATGATGGTTCTTCGGGATGCAAGCAGCACACACCAGCTGTCACTTAGCCAAGGAGCACACAGTGAGGAAGTGGAAACAGAGCTGTACAGGGAAGGCTTTGAGCAACTCACACTAAGAAAATTCTAGAGAGTGGTGTGCCTAATGGTTTTCATGTGTCACTAGACAACTCAAGGCTCCTTTGTAACAGCCAATTCCACAACAACCAAAAAAAAAAAAAAATCAGTGCCATCCAGCTTAATGAAGGTGCAGCTGTACATGGCCGCCTCACCCATCATTTCCTATGACTCACATCACATTCTACTCTGGAGGGACATTGGCACTATCTCACTGGGTATTCACAAATATCTCAGCTGGAAGTAGGACACTAATAACATGCTACCTTCAGCCATCAGGAGATATGAATCCCTTTCCTTCACTACACACTCTTCCATCAGAGCAATAATTCTGACGAATGTTCTGTAGGTCTCCTAGATAAAGTCCTTGAGACTAAGGAACCCACACAAGTTGCAGTGGCCAACATCACCACTCATCCTGGTGCTGACCAGCTTTCTTCTCCTGTGCTTCATGCTTCCTGCCTTGGACACTGAATTTATAGTATCTGTTACATTAGCCATTGGTAGATTTCATCTCAGACTCTTGGGCTTTGATTCCCAAGGAAGCTGAACACTAGGAAAGATCCAGGGTATGTCTATTGTCAATAAGATGGAGGGTTTTTTTAAAGCCTTCTCTCCACTCCTGATAGCAGAAACCTTGTCTCCAATCACCTGCAACTACTCTCCAAGAGGGAGTTCAACTGACCTGTCTTAGGTTACTTGTATACTCCAAAGTCAAAGAATATAGACTCTCACACCATTGTATACCCCAAATTCAAAGAGTATAGACTCTCACACTGTTGTATACCCCAAAGCCAAAGTATGGACTCTCACACCATAACCCCAACAGAACTTCTTTGAAAGGGAAAATGTTAGTTCTTCACCAACTAGGGCAACTTGGGAAATTTTGTTATCTTGTTGTAAGTTACAACTTCCAAATAGTGCTAATGTTCAAAAATAAAACAGTATATGAGTGATAGTAGAATATCTATCCCCACCTTGTAGAAAACAATTTTAAATTTCTTTGGTGGAAGGAATCAACAACTGACTAGATCCTGGTTAGATTCTTAAAACATGAAACATAAAAGTTTAATTTAGATATATTGGAGACTATAACAGGTTTTTCTGGTGGTCCGTAATTGGTATTTTGAATTTGGAAAGTTTGGACTTTGACAGATGTTTATACTACAGCTTTATGTCGCCTCACTCTCACTTTGTCTCTCTCTCTCTAGGTTAATATCCAACACAGGCATTAAGCACTTGCCAGTGGTTCATAAGATTCAGTCTCTTCAAAAGGTTCTATTGTAAGTTTTGATTGATTGGTATGATGTCAATTCTATCTCCATCTGACAAACACCAGAGATAATAAACTTATAAAGAGGAAAAAATGTATCTTGGTTCACACTTCCCCAAGTTTCAGCAAATGGTTGGTTGGTCCCTGGCCTTGGGTTTATTATGGTCTTCTGGACCTCTAATATCCAAGGAATGGTACATCCAAATACATGGCTCAGGGTGAGCAGAGAGAGGAAGATAAATAGCAAAGTGGGCTGGCAAGGTTCCATCTGAATGATGTTAATAGGCTCTGCACCAAGCATAATCAACAAACAAGCTTACAACCAAATTGTGGTCTCATTTACAAGGAGGCTTTTTTACTCAATCCTTGCAACTCCCCGTACTCCTCCATTATTTCTCCTCACTGCAAAGAACCCCTCTATTTCTCTACCTGAAAGATTCTTACTAAAGCATTAGTAACAACTTTTCCCATGAAACCTGTTGTTTCAACAAGGAGGAAAAGAAGCAATGTGTGGAGCTAAGAGAGCTCAGTGGTAGAGTATTTGTCTAACAGGCATGAAAATCTAGCCTTGATTCCCAGTACAGAGAGAAAAAGGGAGATGGAGAAGGGGGAGGGTAAAGGAAGGGACAGAAGGAGGGAAGGAGGGAGGGAGAAAGGAAGGGAGGGAGGAACAAAGGAAGGAATGAAGGAAGGAGAACTTTATTTCTAATAGCAAACTTTGGAAATAAAGTAGATAATAAGTGAACAGTGAACTTGTAAAAATCTGGGCAGATAGTAAAGGAAATGGTCAGGAGGGGTGTGTGGAATTGAAGATAGAGGACATCTAGACCTCCTGAGCTGTTTCCAATTGTTAGCACATCTACTGTTATATGTTTAAAAGACCTAATAGGTCAATCTGATGGAAGGACAAGTAAAACAAATAGAAAAAAAATATTTCCTCTATCCCTTGTATGTGGCTAAAGAAAAAAAAATGACAGGGGGAAATATATATATATATATATATATATATATTCATATATATATGAATAAGGAAAAGGACCAGAGGGATAACTCAGATATAAGTAATTGACTTATAAGCATGAGAGTCTGGCAGTAACAGCCCCCAAACGCTAGATTTTTTTAAAAGCCAAGCATATACAACCATGCTAATACTCCATACACTAAGGAGACATAGTCAGGACACTTGAGATCTGCTGGCCAGCCAGCCTTGTCTACTAGTCTAGTTCTAGGTCAATGGCAGATGGTGTCTCAAGAAAAAGGTGGGTGCTACCTGAGGGATGACCTGAGGCTGCCCTCTGACCTACACAAATATAAAGGAAGCACTAGAAGAGTGAGAAAAGAAGAGGCGACACAAAATGAATAGAGAGGTAGGTCCGCAGGTAACAGGTCAGTTTCTGTGTCTGTCCCAAGGAGTAGAGAGCAACTGTGGAAACAAGGCTAAGAAAAAAGTTATATTGAAGAGAACCTCAACACAGTGACATCCTCTAAGGAACCCTGCAGAGATAAAAGGTCCTACCGATGTGCAATTTCATCTTTAAGAAGAGCTGACACACTAGAGATAAACAGGCTATTTGTTGCCCAAACTTTGAGCTATTATCCTCAGAACAAAAATTCTATCAAAGTGTTAATGCAGCTGCAGATCACTCTGTGCCAGCAAACTGAATGTGGAGAGGCTACATGGATGGAGCTCATGCAAACATCTCATTTGCCTGCTCTTTCTTCTTAGAGACATTCAAGATAACATAAACATCCACACCATTTCCAGGAATTCCTTCATGGGGCTGAGTTATGAAAGCGTAATTCTGTAAGTAAAGAGGAGAAAGTCCAATGGCCTATCACTTGATTCTTTCCCTATTGATCTCTGATTACCTCACAATGGCCTACCACTTTTTTTTTTTTTTTTTTTTTTTTTTTTTTTTTGTATAATAACACTGGTATTTCACCATTTCCATCATTCTGTGATTCCCGTGTTTTCCTCTTGTTTTTTATATCTCAGAATCGCTGCGTGGTGTCGTGTTAATAATTCATGATTCTGTAGTGGGATTCAAGTATTTAAAATTGCTCTTTGAATGATGGTCCCCCGTGATGCAGCATCTGCTCTGAAGGACAGAATAGCTTGTATGTCAATAAAGCTGATTATTGCCTGGCAAGGCTTCTGTTGCCTAAAGAGGATGATGGGGAAGGAGGTGGACTCAGGAGATATGGCTCCTTCCACATAATCACAGGAAGCAGCTCCCAGTCGGGCCCATGCTGAGCGCACTATGATGGTCTTTGCCCAGAATAATCGCAGTTGCTAATGAGCTTGAGTTAATCTGTCTGAATTCTGGGAAAGTTCTTAAATCCACTCAGTGTCATCATTGAATAACCTTCTAATCCTCTGTGTTAGTAGCCAGCATGGCAGTCCTCCCACTCCTCAGGATAGCCTGAAAATGAGGTACTGTCAACTATCCAAGTGTTCACAAGATCCTCGTAACTCAGATATGCAAAGTGACAGCAAGAGACACTGATTGCAATTACACTGCAAAGAAAAGAATTTCATCTTCCTGTTTTATAAATTGTTATGGGTTCATTTTATTCCACGATTTCTCATGATTTTGTTAGTAAGTGGACTTCATTATGTGCCTTTCTCCTAAAGCAGCAAAAGCCATACAGATCCTGTTTCTTCCCCAGAGCTCAGCCACACACTTTTCAAGACAGGATCCCTTTCTCTTGAGAGTCAACCCTTTTCAGACATGTCTCTAAAGATAAATTCACACTCGTGAGGACAGCATCTATTTTCCTATGTTGTTTGCCCCTTAATCTATAGATAATAGAGTTGGAAGACTCTTACTCAACACAGCTCTGAATCTCCAGTTGTTCTTAGTCGGGATTCTTTAAATACAGAAATGTTTCCTCCTAAGAGAGCCATCCATTGCACTCAGAGAAAATGTAACAAAACAGTGCTGAGCTCTGAAAAGCTCTCTCTACATCATCACATCTTCAAAACTTCAGAAGTCCTATTCTAAAGACAGTACACGTTTGTTTTTTCTAAATGTCCTAAGATGATCAGGCCCTTGGCAACTGACTAAAAAAATCAATAAAAACATATTTTTTGATCCCTTCATCACCCACCTCTGTCACAAAAAGCAGAGGGGCTACTAGGGAAAGTACCTAATGATGGCCTTCTAGAAAAATAGCCTAATTTAGGAGATCAGAGACAAGGTTATGTTTGGGACCACTGTCCCCAGAATTCTTTGGTCTCAGGAGATGATTGTATCATTGGTGTTGTCTCTCTTCCTTAGTTGGTTCCCATATAGCTTGCCCATCCTTCTTAAGTTTCAATGGGCAAGGCCTCATGATTTCAAAAGAAGTCTCTATTGAGTGAGCATACCATTTTGACTCTAAGGGTAACACAGGACCTAGGAAACCCTGAGGGACTTTTCTTCAGGGGAATAGCCACAGAGATGATTGTTATCCTCATCATCATCACAAACTCCATCATCACTGGGTTTTAAAGCAGACACTCCCTGTCTTAAGAACCAGTCCTACAATCTCAGTCTGCCGGATTGCAGGATGAGATCAAGGCTAGCATAAGCAACTTTTCCCAAATTTAAATATATGCATATTTAAGTATAAATATCTATTATATATTTTATAAATGGCTGAGGATATATACCAGAGATAGAAAACATATTTAGTATGATCAAGGCCTTGAGTTCATCACAAAGGCACCAGAGAAAGATATTAGGAATGTACTTTAAAGTTGTTGGTTTCTCTGTGTTAGTAGAGTCCAATAGCCGAATATGAAGTCAAAGGAAACAATTTTTACGTAATTTGATTTTGTGTGATGATACATCATTGGCATAAAAAAAAATTGCCATTCCCTCCAACATATTGTGACCTGTTAATCAAGAAAACAATAAAAACAATGGGCTTCTCTGAATACAATAATTATTGTAGTCTATATATTGTTTCAGTATACCAATATTTTTTCACAGGGCAATTTGTGCAGGAAAGATTAATTGTATAATCTATAAATAAGTAGATAGAGCCTATACAGGCCTACACAATCTTGGGCAAAAATGCAGGATCAGTCAACTAAAGTGCACAGGCCAAATCTACCTTGTAGCTAAGACTATTTTTCATAATTGACATATATTACAAAGGAAAGAAAAGAATTGTATTTAATTACTATAGTTTACATTTGTTCAATAAAATTTGTGGCATCATTTTATATATAAAGCAAATGGCAACTTTAATTTTGCCTCTTGGTCCATAAAGTAGAGAAAGTTTGTTAACACTTTTGGATGATGTTGGGGGTAAACATCCAACAGGTTAGAGGGTGCTTGCTGCCCCAGTGACTGTCACCAACCCAGACAGGCTGACATATTTGTAATCTCAGTGTTTCTGTGAGAGACTGTTCAGTGTAGTCTCCTTAGAGAATGGGGGTTGGGGAGCAAGATGGAGGGCATAGTCACTCCGTTGTCATGAGAAGCTACTTTTCTCTGGGCTTTTTAGTTCACTGGATTTCAGGAAGAAGGAAGAAGAAAAAAAAAGACACACAGGTCATTTGCCTACTTTTTTTTAAAAAATATCTTCTACCTGCTCATCACAGTCCAAGAAATTTCTAGAGTCCCCAAGTAGTTTCTCTGGGTCAGCTCAAGGAACTAAGAGCTCAAATGCTAATAGTAAACCCCCCAAGCCTAGCAGGGAAAGAAGCTGTAAGCAAACAAGAGCACATGGCCAGAGGCTCAGAGCTGGGCTCTCCTGACCTTGGGGAGTTGTTTTTGTTTGAAGGTCCACTCAGAAGGAGAACTGGGCAGAGTTGATGGCCCAAGGTAGCCCGAGACATCCCTGTGCAAACAAACTTGCCTCTCAACATCTTAGCAAAGTGAGCACAACTATGTACACCAAGCCCACCTCCCCCAAAGCTAGACCATGGCCGTATACACAGGCTCATACTGCCAGGGCCCACTGTCGCTGTAATTAATTTTTCTTCTCTTCTGCCTTAACCCAGAGCCACCTCAACAAACCTCCAATAACCAGGGCCCCACGGGTCACTAGACGTGTTCAGGTTGTCTGACAACTTAATTAGATCATTGTTTTGATGACAGAGGGCCTGCTGCTGTGGGTGAGCATGGGTGGAGAGTACAACACCTTAGAGAAAGTTGACACAAAATGTTCTTTCTCTGTCTTAGAAATATTTGCTCGGTAATTACGATTTCCTTCCTTCAAGGCAGGGGAGAACTTTAATCTTCCTATAGAATTTTCTCTGACAACGGGCAGAGTGTGCAAAGAGCTTATAGGTATAGTATGCAGAGAGTGTGCCTTTAAAAAACAACAAAAAAAAAAAAACCTAAATCTCATTTGTTCATTCTTCTCCATGAAGCTCAGTTATTCCTGTGAATAGATAATATGCAGATGTAATACAAACTTCAAAACTTGCTGAAGGTTCCATAGCAATAAACCAGCTTCGGTCTTCCTTCCCTCCCACCCCTGATCGTAAGGGCTGCATCTTATTTATGCCACTAACTGTGCTGTCTGCCCTTGCCCCAATGATTCCAATTACAAACCCTCTGTATTGTCTGCATCTGACATTATTAAGTTTTTTAATGGGCTTTTATTTCAGATGGCTGAATAAGAATGGGATTCAAGAAATACACAACTGTGCATTCAACGGAACACAGCTAGATGAGCTGTAAGTAGCCCAGACTGCTCTTCCAGGCCATTTGCAGGGAAATGGCTCTTGCAACAGGCATATTTATGTGGCTTTCTTTTTCTTATTCTGTCTCCGACTCCATCCCCAGGAATCTAAGTGATAACAATAATTTGGAAGAATTGCCTAATGATGTTTTCCAAGGAGCCTCGGGGCCAGTCATTTTGTGAGTAACTTTGGCCGTTTCTATACACAAGAGCTCAGTTTATATATGTAAGTTAGAAGTCAACTTTGTCCAGATTAGAGAAAGGGAGGGAGGAAAGCAATGTCAATTTTGATTTATAATACCTGCAAAGACTTGTGGGGAAATTTTAGGGTTATCTACAGTATGCTTTTCAATAAAGCAACGACAATAATAACATGTAGTGAGCATGTCCCAAGTGCCAGTGTTCTAAGAGGTTAAGATATGCCTGTGGTCCTTATAAAACCCTCTGGGGCAACAGCTATTATCACCATTTTGAAGAAAGGAGAATTGGATTACCTGGATTAGTTAACCAACTCACTCAACAGTAATGCAAGTTTTGTAGAAGGGATTTTAAAGCAAACTGTCTGACTCACAACACACACAGGCCATATGTGTATATGTATGTCTCTCCCTTGGCAGAGAAAGCTTGGTTCTCCTTCCTTATGCTTGGTACCCAGGATACATATATGCATGCCTTCAATGCAGTGAGATGTAGATAGCATTGTTTCTTGGATCCCTTTTCCAGATCCCATGGGATGCATCAGTGTCTCACTCCCTGCATAAGAACTTCTTGCCCACCCAGCCCTTCCTTTCTCCTGTCTTCAAAGATGGCTCTGCTCTCCCCTATTCTTAGTCATGCCCTCTTTCCTTGAGGTTCTTCTAAGTCCTACCTCCACCCTAACTCTATCTAAAGATTTCAGCCAGCAGCCCCCTGTGAGTCCCATTAGCTTTGTGTGGGGGGGGGGAAGAGGTCTCCCCCCCTGTCTTCAAAGATGGCTCTGCTCTCCCCTATTCTTAGTCATGCCCTCTTTCCTTGAGGTTCTTCTAAGTCCTACCTCCACCCTAACTCTATCTAAAGATTTCAGCCAGCAGCCCCCTGTGAGTCCCATTAGCTTTGTGTGTGTGGGGGGGGGGGAAGAGGTCTCTGTATCATAATATCCAAAGGTCTTTTTAATGTGCTTTCCTGGACTCTAAGCAAATTCCAGTGAATTAACTAAACAATATTCCTCAGGAAGAAAAGCACTTAAAAGTAATAAAAGAGGTGCATGAATGCTGGTGATCAAATAAATAGACCTGTACCACACCTAAGGCTGGCTATCCCCTCCTCCCTGCCACATCTAAGGTCTATGAGACATCTGGTAGCCACATGCCTGTCCTCTTATTTGCCAGTCACTGTAGGCTCCCAGGTATAGCCATTTGCCTACCTCCCTGCCATCAATCAACATCACTTTCACCTTCACAAACAACTTGTGCTCTCTTTTGTGATAGAATCTTTGTAATTCCAGAATCACACTCTGTATGGCAGAACAGTAACTCAACAGATGTTTGTTATTGATGACAAGGGTATGCTGTAATTCTGAAAGAGTCTCACCCCTTTGAAGAAAGTGAAATGTGTGCTAAGATAGATTTATCATCCTGAGGAAGTTCAAACATTAATCTAAAGTGCCTGAGTTGAGACAGGTACCACAAGCAAGCAGAGGAAGCACTGCTCTTGTTAAAGCGAAGGGTCAGAGCAGACAGACCTAGTTAAAACTGAGCCAGGGCTTCCTCATCAACAAGCAAAAGAGCTAGTGACATATATTTCTTTCTGCTGTCAGAAATGTAAAGATATCCACCAATATGTCCACATGCCTGTGTATCATGGTATTTAACAGAGGACCACCCTGGTTGCACTACAGGAAATTGAGAGTTCTTCATCCCAAAGACATTATATTTTCATGGAAGGGAAATCAGGTCATAATCGCATAGCTTAATATATCCAATTATGATATTTGGTTTGAGTACAATGTAGGACACAGTAGAGATTACCAGGAATATAATCTAAGTGCTCAAACACATGGAACATTCAGAACCCAAAATGTTTAGTGTTTTCTGTTCTGTGAATTATTGGAAAACAAAGTTGTCCTGATGCTCTGCAGATGGGAGGAAGTTTGTCCATTTTACTTAGAAATAGTCCTGGATGCTTTGGATGTTCTTAGTTGGGCACTGCCATATGTTCTTGGTCTGTTGGGTCTGTAGAACCATAACCTATTGTATGCTCCTGAAAATGTAGTATTGGATATGACCCACACCTGGCTCACTATCCAGCTCTGGAATCCAGGGCCAAAGGAGGAAAGTGACCCACTGAAGGTCATCCTGTGGATACAAACAACACAACTTGAAGCATAAACTAGTCTTGTTTCCTCACACTGACATGTGGTCACCCCATAAATGCATCTACTAAGACATCTGAATATTATTCATAAGTTCCCCCCCCAACACCTGGTGTCAAAGCAAAGTAAAAGGGAACACCGATCAGTGATATAGAAACATGATCAGATAATCATGTGCTGAGGTTGCACCAGCAGGGTCCAGGCCGGGCACTGACAATGTCCTCTGAATTCAACAGAGATCACAAAATACCAACATCCCATCCACCCCTGCTGTGAATGCAGGCAGAAGGAGAGATGCCACCAGAATGCAGAAATCATTCTGCAATGCTGTTACAGGCCTGTGTTTCCATCCCCACTGCTGCTGAAACATGCATGCACAGAGTAAAGGGAACAACGTTTGTAGAAAATCCAGTGAAATTAAGAAACACTTTGATTGACTCAAAAAGGTTGGAAAGCCTGGTGTGGGGACACACTTATAATCCCAGAACCCTGGAGGCAGCCACAGGTGGATTTGCATGAGCTGCTATTGCCCTGGGTAAGTTTGAAGCCAGCCTGGGCCACAGAGTGAGACCTTGTCTACAAAAGCTCCCCCAAAATGGTATTAAGCAAGAATAATATTCCATAAATCCCACACGTTTTTGTGTCAGTGCATGAGGATATGTGTGCAAGAAGCTGGCTGAAATCCCAGCATGTAGCTGCTAATTTCCTTCTGTCCCTTCAAGGACAAGTTACCACTTTAACTTCCAGCCTCCTCTTCCGGGATTTTTCGGTTATTCTAAGTGTCTTTCAAAGCTCTCTACCTAATAACTAGGATTCAGGCAGATGACAGCCTATCTCATTTCCTACTTCTTCAATGTTGTGCAACAACTCAATTAAACCTGCCCAGTGGGCTCCCTGTGTGGATGACCAGCTTCCTCCAGTTCATAGATACAAGATTGTGCACAGGTGGCCCACACCACAGCAGCCTCTGCTGTAGCCACCGACTTTAGCTGTGCCTTGGGTCAGCTCCCAAGCCCCCACCCCAAATAAGAGTATTACAAGCTTTTGGATTCAGGAGGCTGGCTACAACGTGCTCTCTGGGTTTATGGGGCATAGTTGATGGAAGCCCAATCTGGCCTAGTTGGCAACTGAACAGCAAGGTGTCTCTAACAGATCAGTGGATCACATAGGGAGTTCTAGAATTAAGATGGGTCCTCAAAGTTGTATTGAAAAACACAAGGAAGCATGCCTCTACATAAGCGTGCCTCATCAGGAACCAGATCATGTAAGTCAGCCTATGGCAGATCTTAAAGTACAACACGGCCATGAACCATCTCAACTGTGAGTAGTTTTCAACTGAGGTGCAGTGGGGTTTCTAAGTATGATTGTACATCACAGTCACTTGGAGGTTTTGTAAACCATAGATTGATAATCTCCACCCAAAGAATGTTTGATTCCTCCATTCTGGGCATTCTAGTGGTCTTGCCTATAATGGTGGCCACACCCCTTTGAGCATGGCTTTAAGCGGATGGAAGCATAAGCCATAAGGTATAGTCTTGCTTGCACCAGTCTTTGTCTTGGGTCAGCGGTTCTGGTAGGAAGGGCAGAGAACCACTCCAACAGTTCTTTGTATTTTGCTGGGTAAGTGTTCCCCAATAAACACCCATTTATCATTCATCTTGGGTCTAGTGAAATCATTACACCCTCGCCTTCAGGACCTAGATTAGTTAGTAGAGTGCTTGTCTACCAGGTACAATGCCCTGGGCTTGATTCCCAGGAACCCAGGAGATCAGGCATGGTGGCTTGCATTTTTTTCATTGCTGAACCAGAGCTGCAATAGAGGCAAGAAATAGAGACAAAAGGATCAGAAGTTCAAGTTCATCCTTGGCTGCATAGCAACTTGGAAGACAACCTGAGTCATGGGAGACCCTGGCTCAAACGTGGCTCAGCATCTCAGGGCCAGAGCTTAAGAACTAGTATCTCTAACAATGTTAGAATGCATCAGCACCACTGGGGGACATTGTTAGAGATACCAGTTTTTAAGCTCTGGCCTAGTGGTGCTGATGCTGGTAAATCCAGAAACATTCTGAACATCCCTGCCCTAGAGCCAGTGTTGAAAACTGAACAGCCTTGCTCAGTCTCCACAATATCCACTATAGTGTGTCTTCCTCTCCCACTACCTTTTCCTTTATATCTAGCAGATAAGTCCAAAAGCTCCTAAGGGAATTAGGGGAGCTCACTCAAACTGTTGGCTGCCTTTTCCTGAAGGTGAAATTTCTAGCTATGTGAAGAGCAACTGGCCTCTGAACACATGAGTCTAAGCTGTTTGATTGAGAAGAGGAAAGGTTGTAGAAAGCCCGAGTGGGGGATGGTGGGCATGCCAACAAGCTTCCTCACATTTCAAAGGCACAGCACCCTCCACCCCCCCTTACCATCTTGACCTTGAACATCAGCAACCATCTAAGTTTTCACCTGATATTCTTAACTCACTCGAGCTTTCTTTCTTTTTTTTTTTTTTTAAAGCAATCAAGCAATTGCTGTTTCCTTAGGAAACAGTTTCCTGTGGGGAAAATTTAATGTATTGCCTTTGCAGGCTGGAGCCAGTACAATCATATTCTGATGCGTTATCAAATTGATTTGGCTATAGCTCAGATTCATTTGATAGTTCAGATTCAAACACTGAGTTATTTGTATAAGAATGATTCTCTTCCATTACCAGTGTACCCACAGTCCTATAGATAGTAAATTGCCTTTTTATCCCGCCTGGGATCATGAAAGAGCGGTCTTCTAGCCATCTGTCAATGTGGAATACACCAGAAATGTGCTCTCACTTATGGAAATGATTGACCT